TGGGGGGGGGGGTCTGGAGCAGGCTGGTGGGCTCCCAGTGAGACTGGGCCATACTGGTGGTGGTGTCCCGGTGGGGCTGGGGGTGCAGCCCCCCCCCCCAGCCTTTCCCCCCCCCCGCAGACGCGACATGTACCATTTCGGGGTGTCCGTGAGCATCGTGGAACCCGGGTTCTTCAAGACGGCGGTGACCGACCTGGGGGGCATCGAGGGGTCCCTGCGGCTGCTCTGGGACCGGCTGCCCCCCGAGACCCGCCTCGAAAAGAAAGAAAAAGGGGGAGAAAGAAAAGAAAGAAAAAGGGGGAGAAAGAAAAGAAAGAAAAAGGGGGAGAAAGAAAAGAAAGAAAAAGGGGGAGAAAGAAAAGAAAGAAAAAGGGGGAGAAAGAAAAGAAAGAAAAAGGGGGAGAAAGAAAAGAAAGAAAAAGGGGGAGAAAGAAAAGAAAGAAAAAGGGGGAGAAAGAAAAGAAAGAAAAAGGGGGAGAAAGAAAAGAAAGAAAAAGGGGGAGAAAGAAAAGAAAGAAAAAGGGGGAGAAAGAAAAGAAAGAAAAAGGGGGAGAAAGAAAAGAAAGAAAAAGGGGGAGAAAGAAAAGAAAGAAAAAGGGGGAGAAAGAAAAGAAAGAAAAAGGGGGAGAAAGAAAAGAAAGAAAAAGGGGGAGAAAGAAAAGAAAGAAAAAGGGGGAGAAAGAAAAGAAAGAAAAAGGGGGAGAAAGAAAAGAAAGAAAAAGGGGGAGAAAGAAAAGAAAGAAAAAGGGGGAGAAAGAAAAGAAAGAAAAAGGGGGAGAAAGAAAAGAAAGAAAAAGGGGGAGAAAGAAAAGAAAGAAAAAGGGGGAGAAAGAAAAGAAAGAAAAAGGGGGAGAAAGAAAAGAAAGAAAAAGGGGGAGAAAGAAAAGAAAGAAAAAGGGGGAGAAAGAAAAGAAAGAAAAAGGGGGAGAAAGAAAAGAAAGAAAAAGGGGGAGAAAGAAAAGAAAGAAAAAGGGGGAGAAAGAAAAGAAAGAAAAAGGGGGAGAAAGAAAAGAAAGAAAAAGGGGGAGAAAGAAAAGAAAGAAAAAGGGGGAGAAAGAAAAGAAAGAAAAAGGGGGAGAAAGAAAAGAAAGAAAAAGGGGGAGAAAGAAAAGAAAGAAAAAGGGGGAGAAAGAAAAGAAAGAAAAAGGGGGAGAAAGAAAAGAAAGAAAAAGGGGGAGAAAGAAAAGAAAGAAAAAGGGGGAGAAAGAAAAGAAAGAAAAAGGGGGAGAAAGAAAAGAAAGAAAAAGGGGGAGAAAGAAAAGAAAGAAAAAGGGGGAGAAAGAAAAGAAAGAAAAAGGGGGAGAAAGAAAAGAAAGAAAAAGGGGGAGAAAGAAAAGAAAGAAAAAGGGGGAGAAAGAAAAGAAAGAAAAAGGGGGAGAAAGAAAAGAAAGAAAAAGGGGGAGAAAGAAAAGAAAGAAAAAGGGGGAGAAAGAAAAGAAAGAAAAAGGGGGAGAAAGAAAAGAAAGAAAAAGGGGGAGAAAGAAAAGAAAGAAAAAGGGGGAGAAAGAAAAGAAAGAAAAAGGGGGAGAAAGAAAAGAAAGAAAAAGGGGGAGAAAGAAAAGAAAGAAAAAGGGGGAGAAAGAAAAGAAAGAAAAAGGGGGAGAAAGAAAAGAAAGAAAAAGGGGGAGAAAGAAAAGAAAGAAAAAGGGGGAGAAAGAAAAGAAAGAAAAAGGGGGAGAAAGAAAAGAAAGAAAAAGGGGGAGAAAGAAAAGAAAGAAAAAGGGGGAGAAAGAAAAGAAAGAAAAAGGGGGAGAAAGAAAAGAAAGAAAAAGGGGGAGAAAGAAAAGAAAGAAAAAGGGGGAGAAAGAAAAGAAAGAAAAAGGGGGAGAAAGAAAAGAAAGAAAAAGGGGGAGAAAGAAAAGAAAGAAAAAGGGGGAGAAAGAAAAGAAAAGAAGGGGGGAGACAGCCATTGCCCTTCTACTAGCCCCAGCACAGCCCCGAGGCAAGCTGCCCCCCCCCCAAAAAGTTGCCCCCCAACACT